GGTCGACCACAACGCCAAGCAAAACGCGCTCACAGGTGTCACTCTCATCCACCCCGAACAAGTCCTCATCATTGTGGAGGGTGGGGCCCATTCCACCGAGAAGTATAAGCGCCTCATTGTGAACCGCATCCGCTGGACCGAGAACGCACCTCCAAGCGATATCCAACGCGAGAAGCAGAAGACGTCTGGCGACCCGCAATGGGTTCGGCCCGAAGACGAGAACGGCAACCTCAAAGACCTAAGTTTCAATAAAGGGGTCCTCATCTGGGAGGGAGAAGTCAAGAAAAAGAGTTTCCGCACATGGCGCTATAAGACGGTAGACACGGACGCCGAAGCCAAGGACTACTTGTCCAAATCAAACATCGACAGCTTGTGGGCGCTTGCGAAGAGCACCGAGTAAATGCCCAGGGGGCGACTTCGCAGCTGCCCATTAATCACCCTTCAACTTGTACAAAATTGGACTTGGAACGACGGGACAACGACATTTTAGCGGCATCATGAGGCGTTGGCACGGATGCAAAATCATGGGATCTTTGGGAGTCATTGTTGTAAGTCTCACACAATCGACCTAGGAAGGAATGCAGTTATTAATACCCAAGCCTTTGGTTGCAGTGGCGCAGGTCTTTCCTTCACATGATCTCGACAGATACCGTCGGATGGTGATATCCCTTGATCGTAAGCCCTCTAACAGCGCCCCTTTAGCAGCTACATATGATGCCCATGTGACTGATACTAACACCGTGCCCTGTAGCCAGTTTCCCGTAGCCAGTTTCCCGTAGCCTGCAACCGCCAGTAGGTTAAAGTCTCTCGGTGTTTCTTATGGTCCTTTCCGTATCAACAGACTCAAACCAAGTCTCTACAATCCTTTTCGTGCCAAAGATGAGTGTAAACATGATGCTGGAGTCGGCCACTGCTCTTCCCTGCAAGATCTTTACGTGAAGAGCGAGTCTACGATAAGGAACTGCGCAAGGCATCGCTTTGATGCTCTGCGAAGGGAAGATTTGCGGCCTGGGACTAAATTTCGTTTGATGTCGTCGTGCTAACATAGACAATACTACTTGGAAGTGGAGAATGCATGGAAGACGACCACTTTGACAGCGCATCGCGGCGCTGCAACAGCTTCTCGGTCGGGTAAATTCTTTTCTGCGCTGTTTGGTTTTCATCTCGCGGGCAATCGAGACGCAGTGTGTGGCAGAAACAGCCTTGCATTCCACCTCGCGGAGATTTCGAACAATCGAAACCCCAAATCCCTCAATCCATCATGTGTCTAAGACTTCCCAGGGTGCTCTGGGCTTTCCTTTACCAGTCGAATTATGACCTTCCCAGTCACCTTCTTCGGCGACCTCGTATTCATAAAGATCCAACATACGCGGGTCCACGCCTCGTCCCGTCTCACCCACACTCACTGCGCCACGGCAGACAGCGAGCCCGGTACGCCCCGTCAGCGGCTTACCACACTCACATCAATATCCAGCTGCAGCAGTTCGAGCTCACTGCTAGGTAGTCGGGGCAGTCTGCGATTTTGAGTAACTGGCAGAAAGAGCTACATGAAGAGGCGCGGGCTTAAACATTTTGTGCCCATGTGAGCTTCGTAGCCTTGGGCTGTGGCGCTGCGCCAGCGATAATTGTGAGATCGCTGAGGTCGATGACAAGTTTCTTGAGCGAGGCTGATAAGGGTTTGCGAGTGGTGATGGCCTTTTTGAATGACGTCGATGGCGGGCTGCTTGATTCCCGAGCGGCTGGCGATGTGCATGGTGCAGCCGCCCTTTTATGTATTTTCACCACCTCGAGCCCGATGCACGCATTGCCGCCTGTCACGATCGACACTTGAAGGAATGCCTTTGTGGCCATCGTACCTTTGCAAAGGCGAAGATTGTACCAGTGGGGCTCTCCACGCATGAATTCACCATGCATACCATTGGTGCTTTTGCGACGGGCTGAACCTACTGCAGTCTGATGCAAACGTGCACTGACTCCAGCACCGAACCCCGGGCGACTGCGGGAGAACTAAAAGTGGCCGTCTGCATGCCCTTCGGCCCTGAAGCGAGTTCCGTATTACAGGGAACTGTTCCTGTTCCTTGTCAGCTTCCGGGTTGCTTATATGTCGTTTGCTGTCTTTGTGTCCCCCGAACGTCCTAACAGCTCCGTCGTACAACCCGTCAACCGTAATGGCTATCGCGAGAGATGTGCCGCCTCCAGATGTCAACCGAGCAGCACCCGCCCTACCCATATACGTGTGGACAGGATGTGGATTCGCTACTATCGCTGTTATTCTTCGCTTGACTACTCGATTTTACGTTAAGAATATTTCCAAATGGGAGGACTTCTGCATCTTAGGATCCTATGTTAGAACCACACCCGTATCACACTCTCAACAGCCCACTGATGAGAGCTGTAGTTGACTGCCCTCGCTTTGTACGTAGGCCTTCAGGCTCAGGTCAATCTCGGTTTCGGTCGCCATGCGTACTACGTTCCGCCTGAGCACTTTACCGATATGTACAAGATCGTGACCATGTGTTATTTCACAGGGTACACCAGCCTGGCCCTCGCGAGAACGGCCATTGGTCTTTTCCTGCTACGCATCGTATCACGCATCAAGTCCTGGACATGGGTCATCTATTTCGGCCTCGGCCTCAACGCACTGCAAACGCTTGCCTTGATCATACTTACCGGAGTGCAATGCATACCCATGAAGAAGATGTGGGATCCCACCGTTTCCGGATCTTGTATTCCTCCGAAGCAGTACACTGCCGCGCAAAGGTCCTTCGAATCGTAAGTATCCCCCTTCTCTGGACTTCCTGGCAAGATCCAAACACCATGATCAAAAGGAGCTAATCCGTACCTTAGCCTTAGCGTTGTCGTCGACCTCATCTTCGCCCTGTTCCCCTTCGTCTTCCTACGCGACCTCCAAAACCTGGAGAAGCAGCGCAGGATCCGCCTTGCAATCTACTTGATGCTCACCTGCGGCCTCCTTACAGCCATATGCAGCATCGGCCGCGTCGTTGCTTCAACCCTCGACGGCACAGACCACACATGTAAGCCGCGATACCCTGACTAAACCAGCTTTTCTGACTCGCAATCAGGGGACATGATCCCACTCACATACTGGTTCACCACCGAGATAACTGGCGTGCTCATCCTCTCCTGCCTCCCCGCCCTACGCCAACTCTTCGCGCACAACGACAACGTCAAAAAGGCCGGCAGCTTCTTGCACAGCAAGGTCACATTTTCCAAGAACTCTGTCACGCAGCGCAAGGACCCAGACTGGGGGACCGGGCCCGTTATTTCCCTAGGGAATATACAGTTGCAGAGGGACGTGTATGTCGAGGTGTCGGATAGAAGCTGGTGCAAAAAATCCAAAAAGAAGGAGTTTGGGCAGGGAGAATGCTCGCATCAACATTCGGCGAAGGCGCAGGCGTCGGCTGAAAAGGTGTAAGATGGCTTGGGAAGGAATGAAGAATCGAAGGGGTGGTTTCTTAATTTTGGGCGTGATTATTGTATGAACAGGGAAAATGTGTTGAAGAATACATATGGACCAGTGTGTGTTGTGGATGGCAACTGCTCATCCTGGGATCGCGTGTTCCTTGATTAATCGTACCATGGCTAGTTGATAGCAGGATCACTTACATATACCTTCCCCCATACATTTTCAATCCATCAAATATACACCCCACTTTGATTCCGCATCATGTGTTGAGCAGATCCTTTTCCGTGTCACCTTAAATTCGCCATATAGAAGCATTGACCCAGTCGCTAGGAAATATCCATGTATAACTTATTCTACCCCTTCTCCAGTCTTAAACGCTTGTATGAGACTAAGCATTATCTTGCCAAGTACTGATTTCAGGGATCATGACATCCAGCTGTGTCGTCATTCAGACAGTCGATACCAACTTCAGCTTTGTCGATTTTGTCTGCGCTTTTACCGTTGTCGTGAGCTGCTTCCGCCACGTCAGCATAGACAACAACTTCAACACTAATTTACACACCTCCACGATTGAGCATGGTCTGATGTGTCAAGCTCACGCGCTAGGAAGAGTTGAGTATATCGATCCACAGAAACCTACACGACAAAGCGCAATCGCAGCTTAAAGTCGCTTAGAAGAAGGATCAAATTGAATTGGCAAAGGAAGCGTCGCAGAAAATCACTGAACTTTTCAATGCAGCACAGAATACCGCAAATAACATGTCAGCAGAGAAACTCGACTTTGCTCTTTTCCACGAAACCCCGGCCAAAATATCTTTCTCTTCACCCCGTTCCCGATCCAATGTTTAAAAAGAAGATAAATTGTGCGCCGGCGTGAAAAGAACAACTCTGCATACTCACCGATAACATCGAAAGTCTCATCTCCAAGCGCACCGAACTCTTTTCCACCGCAAAGAATAAGATCAAACAACCATCGACGGCAGATAAGACGGAGATTTCAAAGATTGCATATTCAATGAAGTCGAATTCCGAGACATCACGGAAGCACAGGAAAAGATATGCAAAAAGCGATTGGGACGAACCAAACCGGACCGACGACAGACACCTTGGTATATATACCTACATCAAGAAAGGCTGAAAAGGATTTAATAGGCTATTCTAACTTATACAGAGCTCAATTCCTTTCGCTTCGATGCCTGATCAGGAGCGTGGATTTGCCTGAGGACGAGTATGCGGCTGCGAGACCGAGAACATCCGGAAGAAAGGGAATTCGGCGTGGAAGAACAGTGCCGGACAATTCACCAGCTCTTGCGATAGTTCTCGAAGTAGTTCCCATAAGTTGACATGTCTAGAATTTTGTTGAGGTTCCAAGACACATGCACATGTGCAAGCTCGATCTTGCGTGACTCGTGTCAAGCGATGACGCAATCGCTTAGTCCCGCATGTTCAGGTGACTCACCCATCCATTAAGCTCGGCTTTGACGCTGCACGCTACTCGGTGTGGTGCATAGCGGACCAACTAAATATATTTGTACTATATAAATTTTGAAAACGAGAAAAAATTAATTATCATGACATGATGGCCGAGTGGTCTAAGGCGCCAGATTTAAGCTTACTTAAGTGCAAACCCTGGTGGGGAAACCCGCATGAGTTCGAACCTCATTCATGTCAACATCTCTTTTTTGCCCTTTGGCCATTATAGACAAGGCATGCAGTTCTATTCTTTTGCTTGCGATGGTAGTGCGCTATGTGAACGACTGGTGGATTGGTTGCAGGAGTGTGTCTAGTGGCTCGCTTGTTGGCGCGGGGAAGGCACTCCCTGCTTCATTTTCTTTTGCACTCAAGCGCCCTGTACGGACACGCACCATCGTCAAGCCCAATCTCCTCCTTTTTGCAAGATTCTGTATCCTACATTCTGAAAACCGAATGCCAAAATCGATCTCTCTCAAGAACGACAACACTTCGCTGCCTCCTTGCATCTCCTGACCCGATGCGATAGAACCAGCATATTTTCCCGTGCTTACTACAGTCCAGTTCTCATATGAAAGCCCTGTGCAGTCAAGCAAATCAAAGCATGTCTATTATTCCGAAGATGCCCGCAACGCACCCAGCTGAATAACTCGGCAGTTATTGGCGGCTGAATCGGAGTTCACATGCACCCTTGTACCTAGCAACGAGCCGAGAAGTCACTGTCTCTGTAATGGCATATGGGCAGTCAAACACGCGTCGATCTCTCGACTGCTGAGAAGACCTGCAACAGCGCCAGGTTTAGCGCTGACCTTTGTACGAGTTGTTCGATACTTGGAGCAGAAAGTGATGGGGGTAAACAAGCGCCTGCGTTACCGTGTGCATACGAAGCTGACACTGAGAGTACTTTGCCTCATCTATTTAAAGCTATCGACAAAGTCAACATCGACCCTCACGACCCATAATGACTTCTCCTCCCCACCCTCTCCGCGTTCACATCGTAGGTGCCGGGTTAGGCGGTCTAGCCTGTGCCATCGCGCTCCGCCGCTCGAGCCCAGACATCGCCGTCACCGTCCTCGAGCGCGCTCCACGGATCCTGCCCGTCGGCGCCGGGATCCAGATTCCGCAGAATGCGGCGCGGGTTTGGGCGCAATATGGGTTGCTGGAGGAACTGAAGAAGCGAGCCAATGTGTGTCAGAACGTGACATACTCGAGATGGGAGAATGGGGATGCTTTGTTTGCACAGGTGCAGGGCGGGGAGAGTGTGTTGAATACGGGGATGCCTTGGCTGTGAGTGCGAGAGTGTTGGGGAGGGAGGGGTTCTGTTGTGGGTTACTGAGGCGAACAGGCTTATTCATCGGGTGGATTATCATAGGGTCTTGCTTGAGGAGGCGAAGAGGCTGGGCGTAAAGGTGGAATTGAGGGCATGGGTGGTTGATGTGGATTTTGAGAAGACTTCCGTAACGCTCAATGGGAGGGAAGCTGATCCCATTGAGACAGATATTATTGTCGGCGCTGATGGTGAGTATTTAACTTGACGCATGATGGAATACATCGATAACGGCTCAAGGTCTTTATTCCACGCTGAGAGAGAAGCTTCTCGGGATGCCATCACCCGCACAGGAAACTGGAGACCTTGCGTATCGTGGGACTTTTACCCGATCCGATCTACTCTCCCTGGATGATCCAGCGGTTGATGAATTGCTGCAACGCGACTATGTGACCGTTTGGCTCGGGCGCAAATCGCACGCGGTCTTCTACCCAATCCGCGGAAGCCAAGAATACAATCTCGTATTAGCATGCCCAGACAATCTACCGCCCAACGTGCGCAAGAAAGAAGGTGACCTAGAAGAGATGAGGGAGCTGTTTCGGGGTTGGGATCCTCTAATCACAAAGGTGATTGATAGAGTAAAGACTGTCCTGAAGTGGAAATTATGCCACCATGAAGAGCTGGAGACATGGACGAGAGGCAATGTAGTGCTTCTCGGTGATGCGTGTCACCCAAGTCTGCCATATCAGGCCCAAGGTGCTGCCATGGCGGTTGAAGATGGCGCAGTACTCGGAACGCTGTTAGGACTGTATACGAACTCGGCTCGTTCAAATGATCAATCGACAACCCCACCGCTCAAAACAGTACTTGAATTGTTCGAGAAAGTTCAAAAGGAAAGAACGACGATGAACGTCCGAGGCAGCGCCTCGAATCAAAAGCTGTACCATGTCGGTGACGGACCTGAGCAAGTGGAAAGAGACAAGATACTCAAAGCGGCGACTCTGGAAGAGAAGCAAGAAGACGAAGAGTTCTTGGTTATTGATGTCAGGTACCAGAAGAAATTGTTGGGACGGGATTGTATTGCCGAGGCTGAGGCCGCGTGGGCAGAATTGATTGCAACCGGAGCTAGAGACTAGACGCTGTAAACTCTGCTGCTGGTGGCATTTAGAACCGATAAATAAGTAATCGAATCATCAGAAGTTGTCGCAGTAGAAGCGAAGGACAAACGAAGCGACTTTATGAAGGTGCGGGCGGCGGTCAACTGGTAGCAGCTGCCTGGGCCGACAGTGAAGGGGCCCTCAACAGACCACACACAATCATCGCTAGGACTCTTCATTCTATTCTTTAAATTTCCCAATACAGTTGTTTTGAGCCCCCGTTCAGAAAAGTGTGGACGTTTCACTCCTGCTGTTATTCACACGAGTCACAAAACTGTCACCACTCAGCAGCCTCCCAAAAAAACACAAGGCTCGAGCTCGAGTTCAGCGTATACGATGTCGAAGTCATTGATTCCGCTTATAACATCACTAGGTAGTGATGACACAAATACATTATTGTTGTTTTTGTAAGCAGGTAGGTAGGGGTGTACAAGGTGTATTGAGTATGGTACGAGTGTGGTGTTGGTGTGATCAGATGTATGTAGTGATGTGTAGGAAGGATGGCTGGCGAGCAGCCTTATGTACATGATGATAGGTCACATGTATACACGTGACCTGGGCTTACAGTTTTAGTCTAATAACAATGGCAAGGTAGATCGAATGTTCGTATACAGAATTCAAGGGACGAGACGTGAGCTGAGCTTGCAATTGAGATGACAAAATAACTACAGTAGCTGCTCGAGGACCCGTTTTCGAACTCTGGGTCGACAAACACATGCCCATTTGATTCCCAGTAAATATGACAACCTAACGTCCCTCACTGCGTAGCGAGACACACTGTGTGGCGAGACAAACGAGAGGTACTTTGACTTCCAGCAACCAGAAAGCTCAGCGTACAACGAATATTGCCATAATTCTATAAAAATAATCTACGTTAACGTTAACGTTATAGCTAATTCAGGATCTCTATAATCCCTCCTACCTAAAAATTACGTTTGTATTTGTCGCCTCTGCGCCTGATTTATGAAGTGCCTTCTTACGTGGCGTAACAGACTTCCTATCCTATAGCACCAACGCTACGTCTTTTCGCTCCGAATTTTCGTAAATAGGCCTTATGCTAGCCTTAAAACCTCATTCTAATGCTTCGAAGTTATTATTAGCCTTGTGCGCGCTATCGCGTGCAAATTCATCTAGAGCCGCCACGCCAATCGGTACCTTTCGGCGGAGGCGACTACTTACCCTGGTTAATGCAGAATGACCCTACACGTCCTACCCCATCATTATGGTGTAATGTATCTCTGACGACTGTTAGACCCGTGGCTGTGCAGCGCCACTGCCAAGCGCTGTGGGACGTCTAAAATCCGACTTTGGATTGGGAGCATGGCTAGCGTTCTAAGGCCCTAACTAACCTCCGACACAGCCGTTGTACAACATGGAGACGTGATCCGACAGCCGACTACATTTACTTCGGTAGCTTCCGTAACATCTATCACGTCGCCCTTAAGCCCTTCAGACTCACCGTTGACCCTTCCGCCGATCGAACAAAAGACCCGCTCCAGCCCTCTTACATCCTTGTGCTTCCTGAGCACACCATGACCGAGGCACATACCGAGCGGCAGCCAGATGGCTAGGGTAGATTGGGTGGGCATTAGACATAGCGGGCATGGTAGCGGACGCCAGAAATTGGCATAATGAGTTGGGGAATACCAAGCTCGAAGTGTACGCTTAGGCAAGCGGATTAAGTGTTATTAGCAGAAAGCCATGGTTGCAAGGACATACAAAGGTGAAAGGCACTGCATATCTTGGTGATACAGCTGTCGCACGGTACATAACAAACGGCATGGAGCACTGCAATCATTAGCGCCGTAGAGAGGTGCTCATGTTTGACCTGTACGGCCTGCGAGGAACTTAAATTGTAAGAAGCCCACGAGGACTGGGTAAGATGAGAGCAGAGATCTTCGATAAAGTAGGGTGGAACTAACCACTAGGTACCGAGCCGTTTTTATCTAAAATCGTATCTGATGGTGGCTGTGCTTGGTAAGACGCCACACCGTCGTCTCTTCATCCACATCAACAAAACATCGCCTCCGGCGCAAGGTCAGGGCAGGTGCGGGTCGGCCAACCTCATTGTTGGTGGTGGCAAACTGTGCGCGATGCTCATCAATTATTACAAGGTTTCATAACAAGCACTGCTTACGTAGTGAGCCGACGCGGACGGCTGTTCTATTGGTGCTGTTGCTGCGCGCAGCCGCAGCTTGCCTCCACAGCAGCTCAGCCTGGTAGGCAGCACCGCGCGCAGCATCGCACGCCGCCTCCAATTAACTACTCACAATAACACTCTTCTTGCGCAATACAAAATATGCGTGGTCTCTTGTGCTACTGACAACTATTCGCAAATTTCGCTCAGCGGATGTCCTTTGCAGGTAGCTCCTACCGATACCGGTAGACGTTCCAGAGCACGGCTCGCTACACGCTCAGCCTTGCTTGCCGTTGCACCTTTCCAATTCACTCCATCTTACCTGCTCCTTTGACGATGGCACAGCCTAATGTGGTTCGAGATCTCAAGTAAGATTGTTAACTTAGTCTGGAATGCTCTTTATCTTGTGCTGACACCTCTTGCCATTCCAGCAACGATCTCTGGGCTCGCGCAGCAACAGGGCTGTCTGACAACGACAAGCGAAACATAAACTTCAATCGCCCTGACAAGCTCAATATCCTCGCCGAATTGCACGCAACTACCGAAAAATCGAGGCAAAGATCTATAGAGTCCAGATGGAAATACATTCGCAAGAACGGAGAGGTGGTCATAATTAGGGATGTGTTTGAGAAGATCGTTC